CCGCGAGTTGTTGTCGCAGGTGAGCCAGTTGACTTCGGAGTTGAGTCAATTCCTGTTGAGTGTCAGGATCTGCCATCCGGGTAGGAACCCACGTGTGGATCAGGTCTGCGATCTGTTGAGCAGCGTACTTGGTGTTGTTGGTCTTGTCCAGCAACTTTCCATCCTGTCTGGCTTTGCAGGATGACACCTTGTCAAGATCCACCCCTTTGTTCCGTAGTTGCGTCAATAGCTCCGTCATGAATACCACAGCTGCGATGTCCCCCGTAGGGATCAGATACACTTCACGTCCATGAGCCAGCTTCCGAAGCCAGAAGTTGTTGGCCTGCTGATATAGTAAGGCCGCGACCGGAAGCTTTAATGGATCGCATCCCTCGATGTCGAGCTTTTGTGTAAAAGCTGAAGGTCGAATACTTGGAGGGAAAGTCAAACCGTTGATCTTCTGATTGTCGTAGTGGTCTTGATCTTCTTGCCAATGAGGGTTTAGATCGAAGCCATATGGACGACTTTCATCAGTGGTTGTTTGTCCACCTGGTGACTTGGAGAATGGAGTGCCGGAGTGGCGAGGTTGTGACGATGGGATGGATGGAGTGCTGGGCGAAGCCAGTTGAGTTGGAGCGCATGGCATCGTAGGTGAACATGGTGGAGTGACTGTTCTGGATTGACGTGGATACGGAAGTGTTGGTGGAGGTGATGAAGGAAGTGCAGGTGGAAATCTTGGATTGGTTGGTGGAAATCGTGGATTTGGCCATGTGGGCATCGAAGCTGATGGATCAGTTGGTGTAGGCATTATATAAGGTCCCGGCTGACGCATATTGAACTGAGGCTGGAACTGAGGTCTGGACTGAGGTCGCAACATCTGCTGAGAGTGCCAGATCGCTGATTGCATAGGAAGGACCACACCATCGCGGAAAGAACGGAAGATCTTGCCGTACAGGAGGGCGAGAAGGCTCAGGTTCAGCTCGATTTCGACCAGGCCCTGGTGAGCGGGATCGATCAGACTCTGCCATGGTGGCGTGGGCAATTCAAAATTGTTGATGGATCAAAAGGCTGCGGTGGTTGCAACGATTGACAAGATGAAATGAAATGGAACATCACATTTGAGGTACATGGACTTTTTCAGTAAGATTGGAACATGAATCAAAGCCACAAAACAAACGTGATGACAAGAAAGTTCAAAAAAGTGAACAACAAGTGGAATGGGTAGGTCAGCAGTTGCAATCAAGCGATTTTGCCAATGCGTTTGTCCAGGAAATCCCTAGAAAAGAAGTCACGATCCTGTTTAGGACAAGAAATCTAAAGATACACAATCTGAGAGTGCTGTCCTAAGTGCTCAGCGTTTACGTCTGGCTGCACGCCTTTCCTCGTTGGCTCGATAGTTGACATTGTCCTCAGAGTCGGTGTCCTTTAGTTCAATAGGACGTCGTGACAGCTGGTCATCATCCTTGAGGTCTGACCATTTGATCGCGATGAACTTCAGCCCCACGTGGTAGCTATGAGCAATCGTGTACTTCTCAGGAGTGGTGACGATTCCCTTTTTAGCTACATTGAGCTGACATTTCTCGTTTCCTCCACCACGCAGTGAAAGATGTTCCACTGATCCTCTATAGATTGCCCCAATGGTGATCTCTTGCTGGCCTTTCCCTTTCTTCTCCATAGAATCGAGCAGTTCTAATTCTGCCCATGATGGGAAGTTCTTATCAGCATTGGCAATCTGTCGGCCTATGTAAAATGCTCCAAAGGTGGGCATGTGACATCTCTGTGGAATTTTGTGATAAGCCCAGTTTGCTGGTCGAATCTTGCCCTCCATCAGGATCAGCTGTGCGGTACTGAGGGTCGTACCATGGCCAAGTGCCCATGTGACGAGGGTTTGGCCGCCAAAGGGTGGGGGCATTTGAAACCGGCTCATTTCAGGCAGCGGCATGACCAATGCCAGCATGCCTGTTTGTGGAAGTTCTCGAACATAGCATGCGGACAAATCAAAATCCGTCAGGATGCCTGTACTCGACAATAGGTGTATGGCCTTTCTGCTGATGTCGTTGGGAATTCTCGGATCCACTTTGGTCAACTCTTCCATCGCTTCATCAAAATGCTCTTGGACAATACTCGTGGATGGTTGAGGAAGCTCCTTTGCATCAAGTTCATTTGCCGCTCTCATCCGATCAGGGTGGGTGAGAGCATGATTGACTTGGCGAGCCCATTCCTCTTTGGAACCGTCTTGAAGGTTGATGGCAATATGGCCAGGTGGAAGAGTGGAAGCTCGAGATTGAGCGGAACCAGAGCGATTGGGATGATTGCCCTGGTTGTGGGAGTGTCGTTCCAGTGAGTATGCCGTCAAGGGCTTTGAAGGATACTTGGACGGCGTTTCATCATAAGACTGATGCTTGTAGTGTGGCTTTGAGTAGTCGACCCATCCGGAGGGATGCGCGTAATACTGAGACTTGGACTGGTCTTTCCAAGACTGCCAGGACTTCCACTTTTTTCCGGAGCTTTTATCAGGATAGGTGGAGTAGTCATGATACTCCGACTTGTCGGAAGTTGACGGTTGGTCGTAGTGATAGTCATGCCAGGATGGAGGTTGAGGTGTAGTGGATGAATAATTGTAATCATCACGACGACGTTGTTCATCACGTTGATGTAGGACTTCACGATGTCTTGGAGAGTTGGAACGAAGAGTGACTGAATGGGGACGGCATGGAGACATGGAGTCATCCTCATCCCGTGAGCTGGAACGTCGACCCTGGTGGCGGGAACGACTGTCCCGTCTGTGGCGTTTTGGACTTCTCGGGAACGAGATTGGACGTTTGTCCACATGAGTCGGAATATATTTGGACCGTGACCTGGAACGGCGATGAAGCCGTGGAAGTGGTGGCAACGGGACAACTGGTGAAGGCTCTGCGACTGGAGTCACGGTTGGAAGGTGTGCCCCACTTGGATGAGGACTCTTGGACCTTTCTTTGGTCATTTCCATAAACGCCTGCATGCCAGATTCCACTGTATGGCGCATCTGTTGAATCATCTCTTCTGGATTGAAAGAGTTGTGTGGCTCTTGTTGAGCAGGTTGAGATGGAGTTGGAGCAGGAGGAGTTTGGACAGGTGGCACTGTTGGCGGCTCAGGTACTGATGGAGAAGTCTGATGAGAAATTGTTGGTTGAGAGGTCTGATGGAGTGGAAGAAGCTGTTGGAGTTGCTGAATATGGGTCTGAGCTTGGGAGTTCAATTGTTGCTGTAGTAGTGCATTCTGGTCCCTTAACTGAGCCAACTGAGCTTGAGTCTGAGCTTGTGACTGAGCTTGAGACTGTTGGTTCATCAGATCACCTCCACAAAATTGACCAAATTGCGCAGCAGGTTGAGGTGGAGTAAAGGTAGGCGCTGACCAGCCACAGTTCCACATATTCTCCGAAAAGTTTGGCCACCGACCAGGAAACATGGCCAAAAGAGAAAACAGGTCTGGCAGCACAGTCAGACGATCACTATAAAGTTAAACCATTAACATGGGATGCATCCACAACTCATGCAATATTCGTGATAAGGCTCAAAGGCCCTCGGCATTCATTTCAACCCCATCGACGGCTGTCAGTATTCAAATGAATTACGTGCACAATTGAACCTCACCAACGACCAAAAAAGAAAGGAGAACCACACCTAAAACATGTCCTGAGACCTCCAGGTAAATCCATGTCATGATGCATCTTGTCTGTCAAGCTCTCGAGCACCGTTGAAAAAGAAGGTTGTCGCAGCTTCAGGCTATGCAGTGAGAAGTCCACTGAGAAAAAAATTGAAGCCCCACGGCGGCCAGTTGTTCAACCAAACGACAACGACAGGGTGAAAAGCGAAAAAAGGCCAGCAGTTCACTCTACTTAAACGAATTACTAATTCAAAAGTGTAAATTCAGACATCGTTTTACTGTCAATTGTTAGCCTGGAAAGGCTTTCCCCGAAGGGTTCCTGCCAACTTGACGTGTACAGCAGGAATGACACACTTGCTCAGAAACAACATTGCGAATTTTGTTGTGGAGTGCATCAAACGTGCACAAAACAATACCTTACAAACTGCCAGGAAAAAATTAGTTGATCCAGCGTGAATTTCAGTGCGAAGTAAACTTTCCGAGGAAGGTTCTGATGTAGCGAAGTCCAAAATAAAAATAATGCCAGATTGCGACAACAGTGCAGAACATCGAAATTGACACTTAGACGGCGTGGAGGTTCTTGGGTTGAGCCTCTTCCCATTTCTGAAAATTGGCAGGTACGCATGGCTGATCAGGCCATGTATCACCAGGGAAACCAGAGTGTCTTCGTTGGTGGTAGACTCTGGACCCTGCTACCACCCCCTGCAAATGACATCGAGGTATGATTCAAACACTACGGCAATGAAAATCATCACTCATCAAAAACAGGAAGTTTTACATCTTTGCAGATGTTCCACACACACATATTTATATATATATATAGAGAGAGAGAGAGAGAAACACAGAATGTTATAAATATTTAACCTGTGACTTTCACTATTTAACCATTTGAATCTATTTTATACAGTGATATATGCCAGTCGCCCTGGGGCATGACCTCTCCAAGCTGACCTTTGGTAGGAGTGCTGGTATTGACATGGCGACCTGGCCATGTCAGGCAGTTCATCCCCTCGCCAAAAATGCCACGGTGATGCGAATGGCGAATGCTCTGGCTTTGGCGCCACGAGCTGTCACACTTCTTTGCATTGACTTTCTATGACTTTCTTAGGAGACGCTTTGATCTTTGATTTGGTTTGATTAACATTTGATGGAACTGCATGTGTTCGTGGTTTGACACGCTGATGACGTCGCAGGAGTGAGATAGATCTCGTTTTATATTCGAGTTGGCGGCAGCATTTTCTCCAAGGGCTCAGACATTGGTGCCGCTGGGATCTCAGCATCAATTGACATCATTGATAAAAGTCCTGCCATGTCCTGCCATGGAAAAGGGGCTTGCAGAGATGAGGAACATGTTCCTCATCAACTCTGGACAGGCATGGGACCCGTAGCTGCCCTAGCTGCAGCACAGTTGTGTATCTTTCTTCTGCACTTGGTGTTGTGAAGCAAAGTGCTTCTCTGCTGTGTGGATTGGATTGAGGACGCAGCGCGAAAATACATACATACCTTGGACAACTCGCTGTGCAGGCAGACCCACTTGTCAACCGCAATAGTCAACCGTAGTCAATTTCTGGCATTTTGAAGAGAGAACACTTTTGGGAGCTGCATTTGCTCGCCATGTGCCTTGATGGGATTAAAACTTAAGGGGACAACCGCATAGTGAGCCCTGACAGCCGGCTCGCAGCATCATTTGCCAGCCTTAGGTCCTTTTCGGCATGCTAGAAGACAAAGATGGGAACGTGGTTGGAACTGACAGCCAGGAGTATGACACCCTGGGCATTGGAGAGCAGATAGGTGGAGATGTCACCAAAATCTATATTGGCACTTTTTTCCCAAGATCACCAAATCTTACCGAAGAATCCGCTGCGATGTTCCCACAGGTGGCCCATTGGAGGATTTGACTGGAGCTCTCAACAACTTCATCAAGTTTGTGGCAGTGGTGAGCTTCGTTACTAGTGAGCCTTGCCTGGGATCTATGTCCTTCATTCGGTACATCTGCCTCTATGAAAGTGTATTCTCTGCTATGCTCACTCTGAATCGACGATATCTGATATCTACGACGAATTTCCTGACAACACGTGGATGTGGGGAATTGGACAGGTCTTTTCGAACTTCAGTTTGATTGGTTTCTTCAAATTCGGCCTTGCAGCTGTGACTCGTCATGAAGCGCTGGCAAGAGAGCCTCAGGTGGAAGAGCACTTCAAATGTTTCAATGGGATTCAATGGGCAGATCCTGAAAGTGTTTTCCCATTTGCCAAAGTAAGAGAAGCAAGACGTGAGAAGATGTGAGAAGATGTGAGAAGGAGTCAAACCATGTCAAACCAATAATTAGTTCCGCAAACTTGGAAGGTACGACTCCACTGAGCCATGAGGTTCTTTTAGAGGTGCAGGCCGTTTTTTGGCCGTTTTTTTGGCCGTAGGCCGCATTGCCAGTGAAAGCCAGTGAAAAGGGCTAGCTCGAGCAACTCGAGCAACTCAAGCTTCAGGTGAGGCAACTGGAAGATACTGGAAGGCTTTTTGCGGCGACGTGAGACCCCACTTGGAATATATGCCTGAACGATAGATGATAGCCGGCACAAACTGGAAGATTTTACACATGGAACAGTGGCATGAAACATCATATAACATATTATAACATCATCCTACATCATTTTGACCAGAGGCTGTTGAGTTTGAGGAGGGCGTGGCAATGCTGAGGGAAATCGAGAAACGCAAAATTTGAGTCGCTTGGCACAGCTGTGAATCTCTCACTGTAGATGGAGCTGCAAGGATGGAAGGAGAGAGATTCAGAAATTTCAGAATGATTCAGAGCTGGGGTGCTGATCACTTGCACTCCTGCGATGGTGATGTCTGTACAAGCCCCTTGCCACCCTGCGAGGAATGAAAAAGGACGACCAAGACCTCCAACTCGTTTGATGGTCGCGCAAAATTGGGTCCAAGGGCTGTCAGAGACGCCTTTCAGAGATTGTAGCAAACGCAAAATGAACATTTGTCGGCAGGTGGCATCGAGAACACAAACAAAGCGCAGAAACCATTTTGAATATGTGAATCTTCTCAAAGACCAAGCAAGGATGGCAGGAGTTCCTTTTTTATACATTGCAAAAATGTTTGCGTGATGCAGCATGAACTCGGAATGATCATAACATGATCATAACATACAAGATCATACAAGTTTGTCCTGGCACATCCTGACACTATAATTCGGTCCAGGCAGAGGGACCTTCGAAGAAGGACCCTGGCACTTGGCAAACTGGTCCACAGCTCCAAAGGAGCAAAGGGCTTGGAAAAATGCCTTTGACATCCTTGCCATATCTTGCCATTCTTTGATATTTGCCTTGATTTTTCCAGTTTTTCCAAACAGATCCAAGTTCCAAAGAGTCAGAAGCATTCTTCTTGGACAAGGATGTCAACTGCGCAGAATTAAAAGTACTGAGGACATCTGAGGACAGCTGCCGACTTGCACTCGGCCAGCACGGTAGTAGCTGCAAAGGACTCGTCCCACACCACGCAAGAAATCTCGAAAAATAGAGTGCCTAGGTCTCAACAAGTTCTTGCGAAGCAAAGAACTTGATTCTGGATTTATGTGTCCAGCAGCATTGTGTTTCAGGAAGTTTCAAGACCCTGGCCTTTCCTACAGTCTTCGGCGCCTGGCTTTTGCCATGGGACTACTTTCTGCATTCATTGACCTGATGGCAAAGGGTGCGCGTGACTGCGCATCCGAAGTCCCAGCATCCACCTTTAAAAAGATATTGCAACGAACACGATGAAAGAACTTGGACAGATATACACGCTCGAAGCCAATGATGCTTTCAATTCCAAAAGCTTCTTTGATCATTTTAATCCATTCCAGGTGGCTAGCTAGCATCAGTGCTCCATTGATTGCATTGTTGCTTTTCTTAACCGTCTTAACCAAGACCTTAATTGGCGTCAAGGCGATAGAAAACCCGGAAAGTTCCCGTGATGTGCGCGAACACGTGTGCGCAAGGGAATATCGGGAAAAGGAGGAGTTGTGGACATCAATGTCGGGTGCCACCACGGTTTACATCCCAATGGATCACCAACCAGATTGGTACTGGGAAGAGGTAATGAGGCGCAGGGGGATACAGCTGACATCAAAGCCAGTCAGCGGCTACGAAGATCTATGGCTTGATCAACTGCTTGGGGAGGCTCAGATGCAAGTTCTGGGATGTGGAGTTCATAGTGGTCGCTACTGGGAAATGTCTGTGGACATACGAAAGCTGTTCCGTTTGATGGTGAAGGGAAGCACATTTACCCTGCTAAGACTCCTTTCTCGTCACATCGCGAACACGGAGGACCATTTGGAAACACCGGAAGATTTACCTGACATCATGCGACTAAGTGTTTGCACACCATTCAGTTGCGATGAAGATCTTGTGATCAACCGGATTTTTGCAGATCATTTTGCACATAAACTCATGGGCCCGAATGCAGCTCGAAAGCTTGGCAACTTTAGCTTTCAAGATGTTTTACAAGTCAATGAGCTCGAGGATTGGTCGTCAATCAACATCGATTTTGTGATCGGTGGGACTGACAGTTGTGGCACCTCCTCTCTGCATAAAAACCTGGAGCAACATCCAGAACTGGCTTTCTCCAGCACTGGGGAAGACTTTTTCTTCACAGCAGATCTTGCCCATCGCCTCTTGCCTTTGAAATCGCAAGTGGAGACTTACAATGCTCAACTTGAACATATGAAGGACGGCAAGTGGAACTCTTCAGGTGTTAGGCCGTGGCTGATTGGCATTTGCAATCCAACCATTTTTGCCTTTGGACTTGCCAGGCGGAAATTAGCTGCAATGCTTAAAGTCAAGATGATCATGATTTTGTGTGACCCAGTTGGGCGTGCAGAAAAACTCTTCATGGAATACCACTACTGTTTTGATGACTTTGCTGATGCCAAACATCGCAGGCTTGCTGCAGGCAGAGACGAGACCAAGCCTTGTTTTCAAAGTGCCAAGTCGCTTTTGTCCGAAAGATTTGGGAAGTTGAAGAGTTTCTGGCAGAACCGTGCTGTAGCACTCCACATGCCTGCCATGATGCATCTCTTTTCTGGACGACTACTCTTTGTGCATCAAGAGCAGCTAAGAGAGGATTCAGAGCGAGTCTTCAATTCTCTCACCCAGTTTTTGGGGGTGAAATACCCATTTCGTGATGATACGCGCTTTCATCGATACAACTCCATTGGGGGAAATCGCACCGACCTGTGTTACAACCATACTCTGGTAAGAGCGTTGCAGAAATACTTGGAGCCAGAGTATCAGATGCAAGAGACGATCTTGACACAAGCAAGGGAGTCGATTCCGGAAACCCTCCGCAAAAGGGTGACGCGGTGCGATCGCCCTGAAGCTGAATTCACCTATTGCCCAAGCCGCACTGCATGTGCTGATGAGCAACGGGACCTGAAATAGTAGCTGGATTGAGCTGAGTTGAAATAGTAGAGTGAAACAACATGAAATAACAATGAATTGACATGGGTTGAAGATCAGAAACATTCAGAAACCATTCCAGTTTTCGAAGCATGCTGCGCAAAGTACTCCGAATCCATCGCACGCGTTTACTTCCATCGCGTCCGAAAGCGCTTGCCCTCAACTGTCCACTAACTGTCCGAGATCATGGCAAAGGCGACAAGTTTCACCATTCTACGGGAGCAAACCCCTCGTAACATCTGGTGACCATGATCCACAAAAGCCAAGGTGATGGACTGGTGCCTAGCAACCGTGCTCTATGATGCTTTATGACGCTCTATGCATCTCCATGCATTTTTAGTCTTGAGTCTCTACGTGCAAAAAAGAAGATCTCGAGATTACTGGCAACAGAGGCGACTGTTTGCAAAAGCGGACTTTAGAAGCAGCTGCTCTGACTTTGGCGCTCGGTCCGTTCATGCTCAAGCTCATACCGGCAGCAACACAAACACGGCATGACAAGAGATAACGTCCGACAAAGGCATACGGCATACAAGAGTGGTGATACCATGGCTTACACCACTTCAGCAAGCGACATGTTTCGTCATGCTGCACTGTCGCTCACCTTTCCCTGAAACTGTTCGGATGCTTGTTCAAACATGTTTTGGACTTTAGGACATTCTAAGACTGTTTTGCGGTTTTGCACAGCACCAGACATACTAGAGATGTAAATCTGGGGCCTGGCCAGCACACCGAGCCGCTTCTTTGGCTGTATATGTTGCTCTTTGTAAAATAGGAAATAGCTTAACTTTGATCCAGCCAAGCCCAAAATAGGAAAAACTTGCTCCGATTCTCAGAAGATGCCCTTGGCTTGGCCGTGAACAATGCGAGTGGCGCGCTTGTGGCAGCTTGGCTCAATATCTTGAGACCCTGCAATCTCAGACGGCTATAGAACTATTTCTGTTGCCATAGTCATCCTGAAGGAGATGACTATATCGACTATATATATATATATGTATGTATATGCATATGTATATGTATATGTTTATGTATATGTATATATATATATATGTGTGTGTGTATGTATATATATATCTGTGTGTGTGTATGTATGTATGTATGCATGTAATGTAATGTAATGTAATGTAATGTAATGCAATGCAATGCAATGTAATGTAATGTAATGTAATGCATGCATGTATGTATGTGTATGTGTATGTATATGTATTTGTATATGTATATGTATATGTATGTATATGTATATGTGTAAATAAATAATATATATAATATATGTTTCTTTATTTAATTTCGCGTGTTTTCATCCAATTTCAATGTTGTGATATGTTCAGATGGGTTTTCCCTTTTTTAATATTGGATTTGGTCGAAAATTTGTTCAAATTCCAGATATTCCAGCGGCTCAGGCGCAATGCTCCACGGAGAAGGACGGATCATGGAGATCCACCAGTGGATGTTTTCACAGCAGGTGTTTTGGTGTGTTGTGTATTGAGGTTGGACACTTTTTCCAGAAAAGCTCACCTCTTTTACCAAGTTCAGTCCAAAGCATGGTGTTCATGGTGTTTGTCGAATGTCTTTGATCGTCGTTTCCCTCATATTGTTGGAGGTTCAACTCGTTGATCCTCACGAGAAGTGCGCGGTCCTCTGCAGGCCTGCCATATGCTGCTGCCAGTTTTCCTCCACCCAGCGGCACTGGTGCCATGGCAGGTGGTCGGCCCGGAGACCCGCAGGAAGCTGTGGAGGAAAAGGAACCAGCCAGTGGTAGTCAGCCCACAGGACTGACATGGACTGACATGGACTGACAACATGTCACCCGCTGATGAGATTTCATGTTGGTTCCATATCCACAACATATATTAAGATATATCCTTGCTACTGCCTAAACCTGACTCTCGACATGCTATTCGCAGGTGTGTGCACATGCACACAAATCACAGAAGCCTTAAAAGTGTGGAGTTCATTGTTTTCATTCAAGAATTTGATTCTTATGATTCTCATTCCATCAGGCGGACGTGAAGTGGTTGTCAGTTTGGCTGTGAGAAGACCAATGCTACGTGGGTGTAAGACTGCCGTTTAGCGGAGAAGCGAAACATGTTTCAGGACCATCCCAGGTGTATCCTGCCAGTGCACAAAAAAGCGAAGGAGCGCCTGGATATGTTTGGTGCAGGGCATTGAATGCAGAGAATCAACATTTGATGGGATCCATAATGCTTCAAATGCATGCAGCAATGCACATGCTTTCTGTCAGGGGGTGCCGGTAGCAACCCAGCTTTGCTCAGAGCTTAGCTCGGGGGTGTTTGTCCCTTTGGCAGCTGAAGAGGGGCAGTTCCACAAAAGCACTTGCCAAGGTTTGTTCTTCCTTTGTTCCGGAAGCCTGCCTTTCCGGGATTTTACCAAGTCATTCAGGCGAAGACACAACTAGATCCGGGGATATCCTGGAAAATTTGTGCGTGGAAAACTGCCCCAACAACAAGGTCTAGTGCTGCCGGGTACCGTATTGTTAGGGCTCCAGGGTTTACCTGTGCGAGTGACGCTAAACAAGCCGCTCAGCAAGCCCGGGGCCGTAATCTCCAAAGATGTGGTCATAGAATAGTTTTTTTTCACCATAGTATATATTTATTTATATATATATATACTGTAGTATGTATATGATATATCCCCTGAATGATTTTCAGGCACGGGCCACGTTCGGAACAGGTGGGAGACAAGGCCGTTTTGAACTTCTTGGTCTCGCTGCGAAAGCCTTGCCCTTAGCACCTGCTGAAGGCAGAGTCCAGGGCATCGATGGGTGGGACGCCTGGCTGATTGGTTCAGGAATGGGCAAGCTCAGTACTTGGGTGGCTTCCTGACGAAGGCCCAGGAGGCTTGGAAATGCTTGGAATAATAATTACAATAATAAAGATAGAAAAAGTAATAATCATGGTACAACAGTATTACAAAAGTACTTTGCAGCCTTTTTCAGCATTTGGCAGCAGCAACGCTGATCGCCCGAGGACCAGCGGCGAGGAGAGGCCACAGCCTCAGCTCGGAGCCATTCGGAGCCAGTGCCATGGAATGCCATGGAGCCAGTTTGGCAATGCAGCAGTGATCATAGCCATCATATCATAGAATTGGATGATGGGAAAATTTACAGGAAACCCCTATATTTGAAGGTAAAAACCATGGTTTCCTGTAGATTTTCCCTTAAACCAATCCATTGATCATAGCATCTCATGGCAGGCTCGCGATGACTCTGAGCAATCCGTGCTTGCCCTAGCGGCATCTAGCGGCCCTCACGTTGCAGGTCCGTAAATTGACTGGGCTTCCCGACTGTTGCGACCTGAGGGATCAGCTTCCCGACTGCGGAGGGACGCTGGAATGGTGGACAGTACTTACCTCAATATGTTCAGTAAAAAATGTGATGCCATGTGATGCCTGTTCTGGAGGTTGCTTGATCCTGATCTTTGCATACCTTTGCATACCTTTGCTAGGTGTGTCTGAGCTGGAATCAGTGGGGACTATTCTTCAGGTGGTCAACATGCATGCGTGGTCGCCTCAGTTGCCATTCCTCGGGTGCATTTGAGTCCACCATGTCCACCCTGGCATCAGGTACCCGAACGTCGATGGAGGCCACATTACAGTCATCCCGCACAAGCGTGTCCAAATGAAGCGAACCGTGTCTCCACCTGAGTTTGCCAGCGAATGCAGTATATAATATTATATAATCTCCTAGCTATTTCCAAAACACCAATTGAGATTCTGATATTTCACATCAATGCCTGAGCAGCATGTGTCCTGCAGGTCTCAAGTTGCTCCAAGCGAGAAGCTGGCACATTCGAAGTCCCAACAATCAACTGACAGCAGCATGAGCATGGTCATAGCATGTCAGAATTCAATGTTGAACGGGCTGGGGAAATCACGCTCGCAGCGACATGAGAGCTGGTTCAGAATCTAAAACTCGGTCCCTTGGCCAGGTGCCATTGGCAGTGGTGTCAGTTGAGTGCCCAAAGCAGTTGTGCTAAAAGATTCTGATTCAGAAAGACAATTCAACTATTCAAAAGACTACAGAGAATTACTCTGTGGTGTCGTGGTGCGACTCGGTCCTCTTTGCAAATATACAGCCATACACACACAGCCCTTGTAGTTGCTCATGTGACAATGATATACAATGACGATCAATGACGAAAATAGACGTGCGGATACTTTGCCAGCTGCCATTGGCCTGGCGCGTGCTTCGTGCTGGGCGAGTCCTGTGTCGTAGAGGTACATGGATGATCCGGTCATGCCCAAAGAGGAGGAAGAAATGAAGGCCGTGGAGGCACTTTCCCGAGCCATGCTTGGCTCCTTTCGGAACCTGCACATGCAGATTCAAGTGATTCACGTGATACAGTTTTCCCATGTTTTCCCATGCTGTTTTTCCTTCACCAAGTGGAAGGCAGTGATACGCAACATCAATACGAACTTGAACGAGCTGCTGGCAAAGTCTGTTCTCTACAAGGCTGGTTGGATTCTGTTGGATTCTGTTGGATTCTGTCTCATGTATTCTCATGTCCCCCTTTTCATCCCAGCCTCATCTCGAGGAGCAGCACGAAAAAGTGATGCAGCAGCGATCCCAGTTCAGCCCAGGAAAATCATGGAAAATGATGGAACATGATGGAAAATGCGCAAAGGATTGCAGCAAGGATTGCAAAGGCAAGGAAAGTTAAAAGATGTTAAAAGGGAGACCAGGGAGACCAGGGAGACCAGGGCAGATCTCTGAGGTTGTTCAACCGAGATGATCCACAGAAGCTTGCTTATTTGGCCGGAGACTTTGAGATCTTTGAGACGCCATGATCGCCATGTCACCTGCTTGGCTTTCAGGTTGGTGGAAATGTGCCTGGTGGCTGACTGGGACACTTACTGTATCTGTATTTCCTCCATCATATCCATTTCATATCCATCATATTCCAATAATTTATTTTGAGATAAACACGACAGGTTGCTGCCACCGTAGCCAGCCTTGCATTCTGATCATTCTGTTTATTGATGTTGCCGAGGTCGCTGGGATGTCCATGGGCACGCGTGCAGAATTGCAGGTGCAGATGAGTCATGCTATGCAACTCGGACAGGCTGAGGCTCCATTGCATGTTGCCGGTCGCGCTGGTTGAGGCAGTTCTCGAAGAGCAGGATATGTTGAAGCGGCTGAAGCTGGTGCGACCAAGTCGGGGTTCTTCGGCAGTTAGGGGCGCAGACAGTGTACATGCCTGTGAGACATTCTTTGATTTTCGTTTCTGCAAAGGACGCAGTTCCTCGTCACAAGTTTGTTTGGCAGTTCCGAGTTCATTTGCAGATTGGAGGTCTTGATCCAACTGGGCAGGTGGAGAGCCTTGTCCAAAAAGATGTGGACTTCACGAGGGTGCAGTCAAAGGTGAAGAATGAGGCAGAATGCGTGTGAATTAAATTATGTTCAACTGGGAAACCAGGTCCCCTTGATCTGTTTGTCATCAGGTTGAAGGGGAAATGTCAAAGGACCAGAGACGTGAAATGCTGCTGGTGACTCTGCTGCATAGTTGGACATTCACACATTGGTCTCAACCTGCTACGAGCAAAAAAAGAAACTGAAAGCAAATTCCGTCGTTGGATTTCCAGTGTCTGCATCTTTGCATTCTCCAGAGCTTGGTGGCTTGATACCTCTAGGCTCAAATGAAGCAGATCATGAAGGCATCGCAGGGGCTGGGCGTTGCAATGGTGTTTTGGTATGTTTCATTACTTGAATTTATTTCCGTTTAGTATTGTTGTGCATTTTTAGATGAAATTATATATATATATATGTGTGTGTGTGTAGATGATTTCATTGGCTCCGGTTTCTGGTGGACACTCAGCAACTCCACTGTGGTTTCAACATGTTTGAAGCCCTTAGTCGGTTGAGCAGTGGAATGGCTTCAAGGAGCTGCCAGTAATTGCCAGTAGCAAATCCTGCAAAGCCAGGAGCTGGGAATCGAGCCGGCCGCCCAGAAAACCGACTTCTCGGTTTCACCGATCTCTCACTCTGGCAGTATGCAGACAATCCTTTTCACAATATTTCACTATATGTTTTGGACCATTGGATTTCTTTTCACGACTCTCTGCAATTTTCTGTATCTTCCGGTGCTCTACCTGCTAGCCACTGCCACTGCTGCTGGTAGTCTGCAAACGGGGCGTGACTCCGTGCTATACAACGGGAGACTTGAGACTTGCCCCTTGCCGAAGGCGAGACGAGAAAGAGGCTCTGGCTTTGCAGTCGCATACTCAGTCAAAATACTCAAAACTCTCACCAGATCAGGACCAACATGAAGATCATGAAGACAGTTGGAGACAAGGCTTTGCTGCTTCAGTGAGGTTCACGGATGCTCTCAAGGATAAGACTGTACCAGAAGAAGTCCAAAAGGCTGGGCGCTACATGGCGCCATGCCATCCATTCAGAAACCTCTGCAGCTAGAGACGCAGGCTAACTACCAGTGGGGGCCAAAGAAGTTCTCCCAATCATTCCCATTGGATCCATCGGCACTGTTCGCTAGTAAATCTCAGAAACATCCCCCAGACCTTGACCATATCTTTGGACATGCTTACATCCTTATAGTATCCTATGGCTTATAGCAACCTACACTACCAGATGATTAGGAGGACCATCATGGACCATCCATCATCATCATCATCATCCATCTATTACTTCAACTACTAGTTTTGCTTCAACTATTAGTTTTGCTTCAACTGGCCGCTCCCTGTGCCCAGCCGCATGCCTTTCCGAAAAATCCGCTTGCAACGAAGCCACAGGTGATCGATGACGAGCTTGCAAAGCTGAGCCAGTGAGAAACTCGGGATCCTGTCCCTTAGATTTGCGTGTGAAATTGCGTTGTTTTTGCTGTTGTCTTGTCAAAATTCATATGAACCGATTGGATCCGATTGGTGGTTCCAACATATTTCACAAATTATTTCACAAACCCTTCAATGCCATTTAGACCCATTTGGGAGGATGATTTCAAATGACTTATACTGATTTATATTGTAGAATACTGTATACTGTACTAATATGTACTAATATATGTTTTCCTGGGGGAGGACTGAAACCACCAGCCAGTTGTGGCCCCTAAATGTCTTTCCTAGTTGAGGTTAGAGCCATCCTCCTCGGAGTTCAATGTCTCCCGGACCTATTTAGAGCCTCAGCAGCATACATTGCATTGCGTTGCATTGCGTTGCATTATGTTGCAGTACATGCATACACACATACAGTCATAAGTACGTACAGACAGACAGACAGCCAGACAGACAGGCAGGCAGATAGATAGACAGATATATATATATACATAATATATATATATATATATTTATTTATGATATACACATAATCAATCATAATCATACATACATGAGTTTTTTGGGGTACTGATATATACATATATCATCATATATCTCTTTAACATACATACAATCCGCGTATGTCTTGTTACAGTATGTTATAGCATGTTGTGGATTGTGGCCAAATTGCAGTATGGTCAATATGTTGCAGTATGTTGCTGGTATATTGTGTCCTATTTGTATATTCCTATTTATCATTTGTAGGGCAACTTGCTGCCGGTGTGACTTGCTTCCATGAACTGCAGGAATGGCTGACATGCCTTCCTTGGGGTCAAACTACGCAGGACCTGAGTCTCCAGTGGGAAGTTGCCATCGGTTTATGGAGACATTTTCTGGCGATAGTCCGATACTGTAACCGCCGTTGAAGGAAAACAGAGACATCGGCAAGGCTGAGAAGATTCTCAACGAGGAAGTTGTGTTGTGTCATTGTGCTGGTAGCTGCTGGTAAGTGCCGTTAGTCAGTCAATTTTGCTTGTCACAATCAAGGAACCATGATCATAAATCATCATGAATCATCATGAATCATCATGAATCATCATGAATCATCATGAATCATCATGAATCATCATGAATCATCATGAATCATCATGAATCATCATAAATCATCATGAATCATCATGAATCATCATGAATCATCATGAATCATCATGAATCATCATGAATCGGTTTTTCCCAGTTGGCTCACGAGAGTTCATCACCATTTCTGACACACTTCGTCCTACTTCAACCTCTTTTCGCTATTCCAAGTCTTCAATTCAGGATCATTATGGCCTTGAAGACGTCAAAGAGCGCATCCTCGAACACATTGCCGTTAACTTTTTGCAGGACAATTGTGCTTGATGATTTGGTGACCCGCTGCAAGTCCCGATATATTCGCAAAAACTGGTCTGACATTGCACGTATTCTGACTCTCAGGGAAGCATTGATGGTTTTGTCAGTAAACCCATGTTTCTTGGATTGCTTGCATTTGCATTGTTTTCTGTTCTTTACCACTTTAATGCAATCGCAGATAGGTCTATTTAGTCAATTTAGTCTATTCGGTGACGCGATTGTCGTCTCAGGAGTCCACCCAAGGCAAAATTATGTGTTTGGTTGGTCCGCCTGGCGCCGGGACCTTGGCCAATACAGTACAAATCAAATACAATACAATACAGTACAATACAATAATTACAGTACAATACAATGCAATGCAATACAATACAATACAATACACACATATATATATATATGTGTGTGTGTATGTGTGTGTGTGTGTCTGTGTGTGTGATTGTATATGTGTGTGTGTGTGTGATTGTATGTGTGTGTGTGTGCTTGTGTAGGTATGTATGCATACGCCTATATACTTATATCTAGGTAGTTACACACACACACACATATATATATATAGGGGCAAAGAATAAACAGCATTGTTAGCCTCCTAGAGAAAGCGAGATAGCCTCATACCTGACTCATACCTTGATTGACAGAGAGATCAAAATCCATTCTGTACACAGCTTTCAAAGGCATCGTCATGGCACGTTTCTGTTCCAAGGTCGGCAAGACATCTATCAGCAAAAGTATAGCCAGAGCACTGGACTGCAGACACTCACAGCTGTGAACCTTGAGTTGTAGCTTCAAATTTTCATTGAGCAGCGAGTCGTTGCTTGAAATCTCTTTCAGAACGATTGCTTGAAATGTGGGGTGGGTAGACGGCTTCATTAGATTTTAGATAGTCTCAAAACATCTCAAATCAGAATCATGTTGATTTTGCGCGTTTTCAGACTCATGATCTCCTTACCAGTTTTTTGTCCCGTTGGCTTGCTGATTTCCGCAGGAACGCAAGTTCTATCGTTTTTCTGTCGGTGGCCTATCTGATGCTAGCGAGATCAGAGGCAAATGGGACAGGATCTTCCGGCCATTGCACCTTGGGAACATATTGCTGCCAGGACACCGTCGAACGCCATGAACCGAGTTGCTGTAGTGCTGTAGATGCATGAAAGTGCCTTTCCAACTCACAAAGGAAAGCTCAGTGATTTTGCTCTGAATACGGGTATCAAGAAGGAAAAAGTTGTGTGGCAAAGTATGGCAACAAGAATCCCACATCAACATACATCAACAACTTCAGACCCTCTCTGCACTCATGCGAAGTATTTGCCTTGCATTGCCAAACTACAGTATGTAGTGTAGGCGGGTGGCTAAGGTTGGTTTGGAACCCACAAAGAAAGTACCCGAAAGAGAAAGAGAGAGAGAGAGAGAGTTCTGAGTTCTCACAGTTCTAAGGTACGTTGGAGCTATGCCAGGCAAGCTGGTGCAGTGCCTGAAAGTCACGCAAAGTCTCAGACCCAGAAAATGGCACTGAAATGCACTGCATTGAACTTGTGCAAACCATCGCTGTTCGTTTTCTTTCACTGCAGGTTCCAATCCTGTCATTTTGATTGACGAGATTGACAAGTCTGCGACTGAATGTTACAACATTTTCAGTTGAGAGAGACAATCAGAGATGCTCCGGAAACAATTACTGAACAAGTGGATGATGTGGATTGATGATGATTGATGACTGATGTGGATGGATGATATATATACACACCATATATATATACATATACATATATGCCCTTTGTAGATCGCAACACCAGCTGTTTGCAGCAACATCGTGGCCAGGCTTGGCAAAGACTTCCGAGGTGACCCTTCTGCAGCATCCTGGCTGCAAGGCATTTCTGCTCCTGGCTGTGAGATACAATGCGATTTGATGTGACATGATATGATAGAACTGATAGAAATAGATACACAATGATACATCATATTCACGCATTATAAATTCATAGATCATATATTATCGTATTAATAATATTAATATTAGCTTCACATGTGTTTCGTCATTTTTCTCATTCTGCCCAGTCTTGGAAGACTTGAGGCATTGCTGGAGGTCCTGGTGCCTGCCTTTGTTCCGCTGATCTGCACAGATGGTTCGTTCCAGACGGTTCCAGATGTAACGGATCCTTTGTCGCCGAGGATCCGGAACAGAATAGCTCCTACCGAGATCATTACTTGGTGCGCTTCGAGCTCCAGCTTCACAGCATGTCCCTGTTTAAGCAGATCATGTTAAGCCAGGATGAACATTCAGCACCTCCCATAGCATGATCCTCCCTGTGCAGGATGTGCCATTGGACCTGCCCACTTCTCAGATTCGAATTTCGTTCAAACTTCATGCCACAACACGACACGACTGCACCAGCAGGCACTAGTGCATCCCATCATATCCCATCCCATTCTTTGATATTCTTTGGTGATTAGTGATCATTGGTTGGCTGAAGTGTTTCCAACTGGTCATGACATGTCATGACATCACTCATGTTATCCAGCTGATTCCAACTGATTCCAACTGATTCCAACTGGTATCTCTGGTGGAGGTCCAAGGTGCTCTTTGTTGGAAGCCCAGCACGTCCCGATGTGTCCCGATGTGTCCCATGGATCCGCGGATCGCGGATCCAATGGATCCAGGTCTGCACAGCCAATGAGCTGGACACCATTCCAGGCCCTTTGCTGGATCGAATGGAGGCGCTAGAGACCAAATTCGCTAAAAATAATTTAATGATATATATATATATGTTGGAGAGAGAGATATATAGATAACATAAGATAACTAAAGAATCTAAAGATGTTCATGCCATATTATTGATCGTTGTTGGTGATTTAGACATGTGTAGGCATGTTTTGAGTAATGTTGAATGGACTAAATTGTACTGGTGTAACAGTGTACATCATATGTTTGACATGAGTTTCTACGGCATGTGCATGTTTGCAAAGGCAAAGACATCCGAATTTATACTGTGAAGAATAGGAACGATGTTGAGGTTTACCTCTACGTCCTTCAACTTTTTGACAGCGGCAGGTCATAAGAATAGCAGGCTATGTTTTCGAGGAGAAGCTGGCCATTGCAAACCAGTGATCTATGGAATTGAACTCTGTGAATTTTGTGAATGTTTTAATTTGGCACATTGATACAAACCTGCATCTTGCCAGCATGCAGGTACCTCATCCCTTCAACCATGGAGGAAAATGGTGTCGGCCATGGCCTTGCACTCCGTAGCTTTCAGATGCAGCATTCCAATGCACTACAAAAAGTATCCCAAGGATTTCCAAGGTATGTTTATATAATGATCTATATCCATGTATTGAGTAGTTTATCTGTACATCTCTCTATTCGTATGTGCTGCATGTGCATAAATATTCCTCCGTGGAGAGAGAGAGAGAGATTCTCAGATAGACGGATAGATAATGGTATAGGGATGATTAGGGATGGAAAGATGGATACATGCGTCACGCGTCTATTCAATTTGTATTCATCCGTGGCTGGAGTCCTTGTGGCACCTGCGATGAGGCGATACCAAGCTATCCCTGGAGGTCCCAAGCTTGAGTCCAGCAGTCCTTACCATCAAGCCATGAATTGGGCCAATGGCATAAATTCTTGCAGAGTTTGTGTAGAAAGCGGAAAGTTTGCGTTGTTTTTTGCTTCACTTCATCATCACAGGCTCGGCCTTTAGCACCGTTCTAACTTGGTTAGCATCCCATAGTGTCACAGAACGGGGCCGATGCTTGCGACAAGGATGAAGCTGTGCGCAAGATGATCCGCGATTACGTGGGCCTCGCAGTGTGTTTTTGCTGTGCTTTCCCCATGACATTTTCACATCGGAACATGAGCTCAAACATAATTTGCCTAGAGCTGCGGGAACTATACTTGCAGGCAAGAGAGGCTCGGCTGTTGTGATGCCTGCCAGCTGTGGGCAGTTGAGCAGTCAGAATAAGCTTTCAATAGAATATGGTTTCTTATTTTGAGATGACAGGCTTCCCATATCTAGGTACATTATCAAACTCAAATCTCCGAGGTGTCAAGTGACAGTAGGGTGCAGTCAGACACATTCAGACTCCCTATTCCGACGTTTTGCACCCCTCTTTTGCGCGTGAGTTTTTCAAGGCAGGCGTCCGTCAACTGCGCAAGCTCCTGGATAAGGTGTCTCGCAAGGCTTGGGGAGCCTGCAAGACCGCAGAAACTTTGACCTCTGGCACCCCTGGCTAGCGCACCTCTCCAAATTAGAGGTTTGAACGTCGATTCTGGACTCGCAAACTAGCAGTCACTCTGGGGCTAAGCAAATGAATGCAGGTTGCCCTTAGCATGGTGCGGAAGAAGGAGGAGGCAGATTTTCCGTGGATGTTGTCAGCTATGCTCTCTTTTCGTGGTGGAGGGCATGGCAGGGCAAGATCATGCAAGATCACTTATGTTCACCGATGTTAGGACGACCCTAGTTCTGCTTGCCAGCATGACTCAAGGGGCCTTGGCGGGGCCAGGAACATCCAGCCGTCGTTGTGGGCGTTGCTCTTAGACCTCGCGCTGAGGGATGTCAGGCTTTGTCTGGAAATGAGGTACTGCATATCATATTTGATCATATTTGTACATCCCTTTGAACATATTTAAAAAAATTAAAAATATTTAAAAATATTTAAACATGACAATGTTGAATCGGGAAAATCACTATTGACCACTGTATTTTGGGGTGTCCCTCTCTAACACAAACCCCATTCAGAGCCTGAAGCTCAGGCTCTGACAACCTCACGACCTATATTGGCCAGCCTGTATTCCTCACAGACAGGTGGAAGTGGTGTATGATGCACTGTATGTTACAGTGTTGATGTCATGTTGATGTCATCAATGTCATCCCGGAATGGGAGGATTTCATGGTTACAAGTTTCACTATTCGCTGATGGTATGTGAATTTTCAGCGCAAATCTTGTCTTTTTTAAAGTTGTACATTCTCAGTTTCCGATTCTTATCCTGGCCTGACACAGAGAAGACGAGCACTTTGGTGAAGGCTCTTCGGCCAAACTATGCCTCCTGGTGTTGTCGGACCCTTACACCGAGAAAGATGCTTTCAGAGTGGCAAAGGGGTGCACTTCACCACATTTCCTGGGTCTTTGTTTATGACTCTTTCATACTGTTTTGCCGGGTAGTGCAGATGTTGAGTTGTACTTCAGAATCCTGGCTGAATGCTGCCATTTGCATTCAATTTCAGGCGGGCGAAACTTGAGCATTTGCCATGGATGACCCTTTCGCTATTTTGCGGATTCCGTCCTTTACTGTGCGGAAGGAATCGGACCTTCCAAAGCTCAAGGAGAGGGCCAAGAATCTCGTAAAGCAATATGAAAAAGTCAACAAGTTTGACAAAGCTCGAGAAGTGGAAAATGCTTACCGGGCAGTGAAAGAGATGGTGATCAAGAGAGCAAATTGCGCTGGATCACAGGCCTTCAACAAAGTCATGGTCAATCGCCCTGCAAAGTCGACTTCAACCAAGGCGAAGCCAGAGGGAAAGCCTCAAGCAGCTGGGCCAAAGAATCCTGCTGAGGTGCATTTCTTGAAGGCTCAGGGTGCTTCAAAAGCTCCAGCCGCTGCCCCTGCTCAACCAGCAGAGCCCTACAAAAGCCGCGAGGAACGGCTGAGAGAAAAACTGGAGGCCAGAAGAGCAGCTGCCAGTGAGAAGAATAAACGTGCAGCTGCCATTAAAGAAAAGTTGGCTGCCAAACGTGCCAAGAAAGCTGGGGATGCTGGGGATGCTGGGGATGCTGGGGATGCTGGGGATGCTGGGGATGCTGGGGATGCTGATGCAATGGCCAGTGCGAGCTCCCCTGCTGAAGCCTCGCCCCTGGAGAACATGGCCAGTCCGGACAGCTCTGGCGTGGACGCAGAGGCGGGTGAGGAGGACCCAAATCCTTCTGATGCTCCAGAAGATGCAGGTGATGTGGCTGTCGACTTCTTCTGATCCGCTGGGGTGGTGCTTGTCATACTGCCTCCACAGCTCAGGTCTTGAGCCGACAGCTGCGCAGTCGTCTCACCTGTGGCTTGCTGGCAATCCTGCTGGCATGCCATGCGTCATATATGCAATGCAAAGGTGCTCATGAATTTGGCGTTTGTGTTGTCCTGCAATCCCACATTACAAGTGATTTTATAATTGTTATACAACTTCAAACTCCCTTGTTACGTGATTGAACCTTTTCTCTAAGTCACTGCCCCAGGTTGGCGGCTTGATTCTTTTTGCTAGTCAAGGGGACCCACTGAGACATCATGACACCTGAGTAAGATAGTCTGCTTACAGTCATCAGCTGAACACGAGCAGAGAGCAGAAAATGCAGAAGCAGCTACGACGGTGGCTCGGGACCTTTTGCAAATATGATGTAGTGTTGATCACTACAGTCACTACAGTATCACTAGCACTTGTAGTTCATGGAGAAAGTATGTGGACATATGTGGACACGATAATCGATATATACAGTCTAGTGATCTTCTATATTCTTCTATATCCTTATATGATATAATGTGATATAATAATGATACAATGTGACGAAGAAACACACCAAAAAAAAACACATGGCACTGGTCGCATCGCCAGGTCATGGGCCTTGCCTGGACAAACATGGGAGGAGCCACGCTGTTCATCGAAGCACGAGGCGCTGCTTGCGTTAACCTGCGTTTTCTGCGCATATATTTGGTTGGATTATGAACCATACACAAATTTTGCGGAGATGTTACCATCAAAAATAGGCTGCTGCTATCAGGCATTTAGATTCAGTTGTTGTGATTGACGTTACTTCCAGGCAATAGGTGCAGTAAGGAGAAGTTAGAATGGGTTTTGTTGTTGTTTGAAAGCAAGTCAAGCCGAAGATGTCGACCCTAAAGCACTGAACGTTTTGGATGCTCAGCGAGGCAGACTCCCCGTAGAAGGTGCGCTGCATCAGTGTTTGATGATGTCCCATCCAAAAGCTTGGCAGTAGGATTCACACACACAAGGAGGTTGAAAAGATGATGATCGATCGGATAGATTCGGATAGATGCCGGATAGATGCCGGATGATACTTTGTGAGAGAGAGAGAGTAATAGCACATTAATAGCACTAGGAACTGCGACTTCCATTTTCCATGGCAGGTGTTGAGATTGCCAGGGTTTCCATCGAGGCTCGAGTCTGAAAAGGTGGCTTTGGGATGCGCTTTTTTCCATTTGTCCTTTCTTTTTTATGTGCTGTTGAAAGATTGTCAAAGAGATCATCTTGTCTCAATGGCCGCTACCTTCATGGTGGCCTATCAATTTAAATTTAGATGAATAGGTTGGACATTATCGGGGTGAAATTTGGGTTTCAGAGCTGGAAAAGCTTGCGCTCCTGTTGACATGTTTCAGGGCAGGACCTAACCCTGCTCATGCCCAGGGAAGTCCTGAAACGGAAGAGAGAGAAAGAAAGACTCAAACTCAGAGATGGTAAGATTGGAAGCACATGTAAGCACAATGTAAACTTGTGTAGAGTTGTGTGAAGTTGTTCATGTCAAAGATTTCAAGACTGTAGCGCTCGGCTGGAAGCACGTGCGTCATTCGCTAGTCTGTCCGCACGTTGTGTGCTCCCTGTGTGCACCCTGTGTTCAAGGCCCAGTGAGTCTTCACCCCTGGGCGAACCCAGCGACATGCAGGTAGGAGAAAGGACATCCCATGGCATCTTTCATCTGTAAAGATTGTAGAGCAAGAATTAAGCAAGTCAGCGGTGACGGTGTGCAGGTCACTGGCCAGCTTGGCACAGTGATGAACGAGTCGAGCAGCATCTCCCTCACGTGCTCCTCTCACTCCTTGAAGTGAGCCCAGGGCATTCCACAAGTGCTTCCAAGGTACGCGAGGATGTTCATTAGAGAGTTTGGAACCCAAGATGCTCCAATGGTTCTTGTTCCGGTGTCCAAAGAGCCTCGCAAGCGGATGGCCAGAGACCCCCCGGATCCTCCTCCATCCTGATCCCTGGCTGTTTGATCCCACATTACATCACATTACCATACAAAGGCGATACATTACCATTACATTAGCGTTACATTACCCACATCCATGACATGAGGAGCAAGCTGTTAGCTGGGCCGCGTGGCTTGACAAAGCGAGGTTGGATCCACAGAAGTCGTTCCTCGACAAGGCGTGCACATCGTTTAAACATTGTTTAAACCAAGTCGAAACGCAAACAGACCAGTTATATACATTCATATACCAGTAATATCAGTAATCAGTTAATTGTCCCCGGCCTGTTCGCCAGATGTGACTTGATGTATCTTGGAAGTTCACATGCTCAGGCGCAGATTCATTTGAACGTCCCGGAGGGAGCCACTCCAAAGGACTGTGATGGCTGCATCGCTCACCAGGAGCATCGCTCGGAGCGTTTTTTTTCAGTTTGGGATCGCCAGGATGGACCGTCAGCTGGGGTGACCATGGCAGTGGCCCTTGTCAGTTTGGCTATGGACATCCCAGTGAGGTGCCGTGGGATGCCGCCACGGCTGATCCACACTGCTCCAGTACTCTCCCCTGGTCCATCCTGGTCCCCTGGTGCTAAAAGTGTCCAGGTCAGATGTCGCAATGACTGGTGAGCTCACCCTGATGGGCAAAGTGCTCAAGGTGCAGCTGGTTTGTCTGCAGTTGTCGGCGTGAAGGGTGCGGGATGGCCAAACATGCCAAACGCAGTTAGATGGATCATTCACCAAGATTCACTAGGCATCTAAATCCCATCAAGTTTCAGGCTTCAAAGAACTCTGGAATGGTTCATGATCTACACACACACACATATATATATATATATGCGTATAATATCGTATAATACGCATGGGAATCCTCCGTTGATATAATATAATGTATACATTGGACTAATATTGGGATGCTACTGGACACATTCCTGGTGGTTCTATCATGATATACTGTATTTACATGTATCTACATGTTTGTGTAATGTTTATCTTGATATGCCCATGGCCGCCCTGAGGTGGGCGGCATTCAGGAGAAGGTCATCGCAGCGCGTCGCGAGAACGTCAAGACAGTGCTCATGTGGGTGACCTCAGAGGGGGAACCGAAGGTGGAACCCCGTTTTTTAGGTCCAAGGTGGCACTGGAAAATGCTCAACTTGTAATATGGGAAAATAAATCAAGAATGGATAGATATTGGATAGAAAAAAGGATACAAATGCATGTAAATTACGTGCATGTAGATGGAGATATTGATCCAGGTATTGTGATATGATATAAATGGATGACGTTGGTAGTTGGAAGGGACTCCTCTGCACCAGGTAGTCATGGAATCCAAGAAATGACTAGTTACGACTGGGGCTTTCATGGGCTTTCCAGCTGAGTGGGATCAGAATGCAATGACGACTCAACCAGGTAACCAAACGATGATTCGCAGGCTTCACCGTACTCCAATCTTCGTGGGTGATTTCAGGGGATTCCAAATGTCTTTTTATGTCTTTTTATTCCTGCATAGCCTTGGGTTCTACCTGCAGCCTGTGGCTTTGAGTCCATGCATTGTTTCATCCACAAGCGCAAGATGATGGCAAAACATCATCAGCCCTGCTGGGCAGAGGATTTCATATGATTTCATTAGTTCCTTTGTTAAACATTCCATGACTCATCATCCCTGCAAAGTTCAGAGATTCATGAGGCTTGGAGGTTGCGAAATGGGACTGGGCAGGTAGAAGTTATTGAAGTTATGATCCCCAAGGTTAGTTCTTTGCGTCCCTTAGGTGCCCAATGGAGCCATGAATATCATGAATATCATGAATATCATGAATATCATGAATATCATGAATATCATGAATATCATGAATATCATGAATATGCCAGCAAGTAAAGATAAGATAAGATAAGTAAAGCAAATTCAGAATGTTTCCATCACACTCCACCGCCATGGCGCAGTTTTTGTTCGCTCACCGTGACTTGCGTGACACGCTGTCGGCGCCGCGACCGTTGCTGCCGGAGATCCGAGCGTCACCCGAGATCCGGAGAAAGTGGCGGCCACAGCAGCGGCGAGGCATGGACCGCGCAACTTAGGGACCCAACAGTTTGATTTGAGGATACCAGATGGGTATGGCTTAAGATGAACCGCTCAAAAAATATAGTTATATGATATATAAATGTATATCATGTTTATGATGTTGTGAAGGCATGTGTAGACCGTATTTAAGGATATATTTGGTTTTTGTCTATCAAAATGGACACTGTTTGCGGCCCATATTCCCTTTCTTATGCTTGTTACTCAGTAGACCTGTTCCAACTTGTTGGGCGGATCAATCACTTGTCCCAGCGGGTTCGCTCGGACATCCACAAGTTGCACGATGACCCGGGCCGGTGCAGATGATAATTTCCTAATTTCCCTGGGAAATCGAGCATCTGACAGCGATTGCCGAAGGAGGACAAATTCAAAGGCAGCACCCCATTCTGTCACTCTGATGAGGCATGGCTTTTCTGGCAGCCTTACTTCCTGTGGCCGTTCGCACGGCACTGCGTTCACTAAAGCGCCCTACAGAACCATTCGGTACTGCAGAGCTCTTACAGTTAGAAGCTTGACACAAATGCAGGCAGATGCTGAACACTGCTGACCCACCTGCCAGCACGATCATGATCATCATGATCATCATGATCATCATGATCATCATGATCATCATGATCATCATGATCATCATGATCATCATGATCATCATCATGGTGGTGGTGATGATGATGATGATGCTGCTGATGATGATTGCTTAGTGCCGGTGATGCTGATGCTGATGATTGCTTAGTGCTGATGTTGATGTCGAAGAACTGCCGAAGCTAGTTTGAATCTGAACCGTTATACATTTGCGGGCAGGACTAGGGGTTGGCCCAGAACTCATTGTATCATGTTGAATTGTTGACGTTTTGTTTGCTCGTCATTAACAGTTCCTCGTCATACATCCTATGTTCAAGGGTAACCCATGTCATTCCCCAATCTGTCTTGTCAAGTCTGAATTCGTGACCCTCTGCGTGAATCAGCTGTCCATGTTCCTTCAATTCAGGAGTCTCAAGCACTGATCTTTTATGTTTAATAGCGGTTAATTGTTTCCATGGGGGCAGGAGATTTGATCCCTTCCATAAACCTAGTCACTAATTAGTTGCTAGCGGTACGATGGGCGATGGAGGGAGGGAGAGAGAGAGAGAGAGAGACCGAGAGACCGAGAGAGAGACCGAGAGAGAGACCGAGAGAGAGACCGAGAGCAGAGAAGAGAAGGGAAGCGGAAGCGAAGCGAAGGGAAGGGCAGGGAAGGGAAGAGAAGAAAAGAGCGTGAAGAGAAGAGAAGACAAGATAAAAGAGAAAAGAGAAAAGAGAGAGGAGAAGATAAAAGAGAAACGAGAAAAGAGAAGAGAGAAAAGAGAAAAGAGAAACGAGAAAAGAGAAAAGAGAGAAGATAAAAGAGAAAAGAGAGAAGAGAAAAGAGAGAGAGAGAGAGACAGAGAGAGAGAGAGAGAAAAAAAAACAAGAGGTGGTGATTAATTGTTCCATGGGGGTAGGAGATTTGATCCCTTAGGTAAAGCCTACTAGCGATATGTGACGTTGTGTCATGAGGGGCCGAGGGGTAGGAGATGTGATTCGCCATGGAAACCCTAAAGGCGGTATAGTTACTTGATCCCTGAGGGTGGGAGATTTGTTTGTTTAAGTAAACCTTCCTGGCTAGTTGATGGTGAACGCCCCTTCCTTGCCATTCGGGAAAAGTTATAACTTGTTCTTAGTTAGAGGATAATAGATCATACATTGATCATATCCCTTTATTTTTCCATATTATTCCCAAGGGGTCAATATTCGCCGCACTTCCGATGGCCCTAGTGTGGTGTCGTAGCCCAGGAGATGAAGTCAGATGAGCCACAAGCTTTGTCAGAACTGCTCGAAGGTAGGGCATGATGCTAACCTCAAGGGCAGGCAGTGTTTGGATGTGTATAGTGGTTTAAACATGTTTAAACTCCCCTACACTCCCATGTACGGTTCCAATGTTGGTTTGTTTAAGAAACTCTTGGATTTCCACGTCAGGTTTGGGAGCCTTATCCACTGCAGTTCGTGGGGTGCCCATCCTGCGGGAGACAGCCACTGACCAGACACCAATGTGGAGAGTTGCCATTGTATCTTGGACGCAGCAGTTGGCTGTGGATTATTGGGACCTATTTTGATCTATTTTGGACATATCTAGACTGTTAGCAGGACTGTTGGCAATGCGATCCATAGGGCCAGGGGCTAGTGTACTTTGGTATGAGTCTTGTGACACAGCTTGGCGATCCTTGGCATGATGATGTCTGCATCCACCTTTGCAACTTTGGGGTTGTTTACGTTAGGTCACAGGCATGTTCCCAGCCAGTGTTGATGTGGAGAAGATCATGGCCGTTGTCCAAAGTTGCTTCGACCTGCAAGCACCAGCTTCCTGGACTGTGACAAGAGTTGAAGATACTCGGTATCAGATTGCGCGATTGTCCTGAACAGAACCGTGTCAGTTAAACATAGTTTCCATCTCATAGAGCAATCGCAGATACCATAGTGATCACCAAAATTCTGTGTTACCGCATGCGCACTCTTCAAGTCTCCTTTCCTACGATGATGTTTCAGATTGTTCAGAGGCTGTTTGCCCAAACGCTAATCTCGGCACACGGAAATTCGCACTCGTTCGCTGCATTCTGCATCAGAAATCAAGGATATCGATTGGGTGGAGCATGTTCAACGCAGCTGGAAAGCCATGAATTTGGGACAAGGATTTCAGGTCCTATTGCCGTGGCATGATGGCCCCGAAGGTGGTGCAACTTCCAATGGTCGCTTGGTGCTGCGCTTGGAAGGCGGTGCTGCCTTTGGGCTGGGGGATCACCCCACAACGCAAGGTGCGGTGAAGTTCTTGGAGAAGGCGAGTTGGGGCATGGCAAAGACGTTGGCACTGCTGGATTGGATGATAGTAAATGATCGCAATATACCCTCTGGTTATGTCAAAATAGCTATTGAAAATGGCCATAGAAATAGTGGATTTTCCCATGAAAAATGGTGGATCTTTCCATAGTTACGTTAGTTTACCAGAGGGTATTATATAGTAATAAATGACAGTATATTAAATATATATCAATATAGACATAGAGTAAATGATAAATGATAGTAATGATATAGTAATGATATAGTAAGGATATAGTAATGATATAGTAACGATGTAGCAATGATATAGTAGTGATATAGTAATGATATAGTCATGGTATGTGATGATATGTGATGATGGCCTAAACTTGTGCGAAAAGGTTCTCACGGATGATGGAAGGAGGAGTGCCACTTGACTGCAAGAAGTGCAAACGTGTCAGAATATCGTGTATGCAGTATGCATCAGTGTGTGCGCATCATATTACCCATATGTTGCAATTGCATGGAATTGCCACTTGCGAAGAGATGTCCATCCTCCCCCACCTCAGTTTCCAGTGGGTGAAAAAGCGCCGCACAAAGGCTGTTTTGGACTATGGCTCTGGATCTGGAGTGCTCGCCATTTGTGCAGCTCATTTAGGTGCATCTACTGTGGTTGGTGTTGATGTTGACGAAGGATCTGTGGATACTTGTCAAGGAGGGGGGAATAGCTATGAACATAGGTATTTGATGGTGTTTGGATGTTTTTGGATGTTCCTGGTTGTGCAAGTTTCAGACACCTGTATATCGGTGTTCGGTTGTGTTGTCTCAAACGTTTCTTGGGGTGACATGCAGTCAATTCACCAGCTGCTTGCATGCGGAAGAATGGGGATTTCTGAATTGTAGCAGTTTTCATTCCAAGCTGCAGCCTAACCAGTCCATTAAATGTAGTAGAGAGATACAGAGAGCACTAGCGTTTGTGCTGCGCTTTTTGAGGTGTGATAGTTGCCAAAAGAACAAAAGGACACAACAAGACAGACAAGAGAGCACAACAAATGAAATTGCAAAACGAAACTCTGTGGATATCTGTGGTCCGATTCCTTCAACTTATTGGCATGTCGGTTTTCAGTATGTGGTAATATGTGGTATTTGTACATGTTTGTACTGTATTTTCGGCCAAGGAGTCTGCAAAGCGAAGCTACGCATCAAGCCTTGCAGAGAGCAGCATAGTAGTGTTCCGTCGCAGTCCTGAGGATTTCGCAGACGCAGAGGACGATTTTGAAGGGCAACCAGAGTAATCATGGTCATAGAAGATTGATCCATGGTGATGCAACCATTGCTGCGTGGTATTTTTCCCATTTTCTGGACTGTCTGGGCTGTATGCCGATTTTGCTGTTGAAAGCTGGCACTTCCATTTCAACAGTATTTTACCTTCAAAAAAAACACAAAAAGAAGCACATCAGTTTATCCATTCCTGCCTCACTCGCACTGGCTCATTCCATACAACCAAGATAGGCTTGGAGAGACTGCAGTCGGTCCAGAAAAACGCACTGTCGCAAAGTTTGTTGCGGCACGAGCACCTTGAATGCTCACTGACCCAGGAGTTTGCTTCTGGGTTGGTCCAAGAGTATGGTCCTTTCAGCGTCGTTGTAGCAAATATTCTGCGAAGGCTTCGGAATTTTTGAAGGTTTATGTATTCACGAAAGCCAGCCGCTAGGCTAGGCGAAGTTCTATATGCGAACAAAGTGAGTTAAGGGGGTCTGGGGGCAGAGCGTCCGAAATTGGACAAAAATGAGGAAAATAGGTGGTAAAAAAGGTGGACGCAGTTAAACTTTTTTAGGGTTATGTACCAGGTGGCAATTGGGTGACGTTGGGGTATCGATTCCCCCCTGGTCCGCCCTCCGAGGTGGATCTGGGCAGATTGCAATGGAGGGGAAAATGATGAGACAAATAATAGAAAAAATGAGGGAATAGGACATAAAACAATGGGAAAAAATGGGAAAGGAGGGGAAAATGATGAGAAAAACCATGGAAAAAAGGAAGGACTTTGACATAAAACAATGGAAAAAAATGGGAAAGCAATGGAAACGGTGGAAAGAATAGGGAGAGAACAATGGGAAAAAAATGCGAAAGGAGAGGAAAATGATGAGAAAAACAATGGAAAAAAGGAGGGACTTTGACATAAAACAATGGAAAAAAAATGGGAAAGCAATGGAAACGGTGGAAAGAATAGGGAGAGGGTAAAATGATGCCAAGTGTAATGAAGGGGAAAATGATGTCGAGTAAAATTATGGAAAAGCAAGGAACAAAAGGAACTATGACGTCGACATGGAGCGATGGGAAAGCAATGGAAAAATTGAGGGACTAAAAATGAGGGAATATGACATAAAACAATGGGAAAAAAACGGGAAAGGAGGGGAAAATGATGAGAAAAACAATGGAAAAAAGGAGGGACTTTGACATAAAAGAATGGAAAAAAAATGGGACAGCAATGGAAACGGTGGAAAGAATAGGGAGAGAACAATGGGAAAAAAGTGCGAAAGGAGAGGAAAATGATGAGAAAAACAATGGAAAAAAGGAGGGCCTTTGACATAAAACAATGGAAAAAAATGGGAAAGCAATGGAAACGGTGGAAAGAATAGGGAGAGGGTCAAATGATGTCTGGAATGAAGGGGAAAAATGATGTCGAGTAAAACTATGGAAAAGCAACGACGAGATGGATCGATGGGAAAGCAATGCAAAAATTGAGGGAGTAAAAATGAGGGAATATGACATAAAACAATGGGAAAAAAATGGGAAAGGAGGGGAAAATACAATGGAAAAAAGGGGGAACTTTGATATAAAACAATGGAAAAAATGGGACAGCAATGGAAACGGTGGAAAGAATAGGGAGAGGGTCAAATGATGCCAAGTAAAAGTCTGGAATGAAGGGGAAAATGATGTCGAGTAAAACTATGGAAAAGCAACGACGAGATGGATCGATGGGAAAGCAATGGAAAAATTGAGGGACTATGCTGAAGAGGTGGAGTCAAACAATGGAAAAACAATGGAAAAATTGCGGCTCCGATGGGACCAGTATCGAGTCGAAGTACAGCCAGAAAACCATAGAATCGGCGAGTGAAACCGTTGATACAGTGCAACGTGGGAGGTGCATTTCGGTTCTAGTTCAGATGTGTCATGCATTGGGCACAGCAACACGTGTTTCTATAGATCACGAAAGCCAGCCGCTAGGCTAGGCGAAGTTCTATATGCGAACAAAGTGAGTTAAGGGGGTCTGGGGGCAGAGCGCCCGAAATCGGATAAAAATGAGGAAAATAGGTGGTAAAAAAGGTGGACGCAGGTAAACTTTTTTAGGGTTATGTACCAGGTGGCAATTGGGTGACGTTGGGGTATCGATTCCCCCCTGGTCCGCCCTCCGAGGTGGATCTGGGCAGATTGCAATGGAGGGGGAAAAATGACGGAGAAAATCATAGGCAAAACTGATGTCATTGACCTCCCCCCCTTTCCCACCCTGGAAAGGAGGGGAAAATGATGAGAAAAACAATGGAAAAAAAGGAGGGACTTTGACATAAAACAATGGAAAAAAATGGGAAAGCAATGGAAAATTTGAGTAGAACGCTTGGAAAATTGATTAAAACGCGAGGAGAAACGGTGGAAAGAATAGGGAGATGGTAAAATGGCTCCGATGTGGGACCATTATCGCGTAAAGCACGCGTGAAACAATGGAAAAGCAATGGAAAAATTGCAGTTTCGATGTGTGACCACTATGGAGTAGAAGCACAGAAAAAAAAACCATGGAGGAAACGAGCAAAACCGTTTATACGGTGCAACTGTAGGGATTGTGGAAGGTGCATTTGGGCAAGCGTTAGACACACTGGAGAAATCGAGTAACACCATGGCAAAACACTGGAAAAATTGATGAAATGGAAGGATAAATTGATCGCACAAAAACGCGAGGAAGAACGGTGGAAAGAATAGGGAGAGGGTAAAATGATGCCAAGTAAAATTGAGGCTCCGATGTGGGACCATTATCGCGTAAAGCACGCGTGAAACAATGGAAAAGCAATGGAAAAGTTGCAGTTTTGATGTGCCAAGTAAAATTGAGGCTCCGATGTGGGACCATTATCGCGTAAAGCACGCGTGAAACAATGGAAAAGCAATGGAAAAATTGCAGTTTCGATGTGTGACCACTATGGAGTAGAAGCACAGAAAAAAAACCATGGAAGAAACGAGCAAAAAGGTTTATACGGTGCAACTGTAGTGATTGTGGAAGGTGCATTTGGGCAAGCGTTAGACACACTGGAGAAATCGAGTAACACCATGGCAAAACACTGGAAAAATTGATGAAATGGAAGGATAAATTGATCGCACAAAAACGCGAGGAAAAACGGTGGAAAGAATAGGGAGAGGGTAAAATGATGCCAAGTAAAATTGAGGCTCCGATGTGGGACCAGGAAAAAATGAGGGAATATGACGTAAAACAATGTGGAAAAAATGGGAAAGCAATGGAACATTTGAGGAGAACGCTTGGAAAATTGATTAAAACGCGAGGAGAAACGGTGGAAAGAATAGGGAGAAGGTAAAATGATGCCAAGTAAAATTGAGGCTCCGATGTGGGACCATTATCGCGTAAAGCACGCGTGAAACAATGGAAAAGCAATGGAAAAATTGCAGTTTTGATGTGTGACCACTATGGAGTAGAAGCACGGAAAGAAAACCATGGAAGAAACGAACAAAACCGTTTATACGGTGCAACTGTAGGGATTGTGGAAGGTGCACTTGGGTAAGCGTTAGACACACTGGGGTAACATAAGGGTAAGGATGGAGAAATCGAGTAACACCATGGCAAAACACTGGAAAATTGATGAAATGGAAGAATAGATTGATAGCATATAAAACAATGGGAAAAGAATGGAAAATTTGAGTAGAACGCTTGGAAAATGATTCCAAGTAAAATAAAAGTAAAACGATGGAAATTGATGGGGTGGAAAAACAATGGAAAAATTGAGGCTCCGATGTGGGACCATTATCGCGTAAAGCACGCGTGAAACAATGGAAAAGCAATGGAAAAAATGCGGTTTCGATGTGTGACCACTATGGAGTAGAAGCACGGAAATAAAACCATGGAAGAAACGAGCAAAACCGTTTATACGGTGCAACGGTAGGGATTGTGGGAGGTGCATTTGTGTAAGCGTTAGACACACTGAGATAATAGAAGGGTAATGATGGAGAAATCGAGTAACACCATGGCAAAACACTGGAAACATTGATGAAATGGAAGGATAAATTGATAGCCTAGCGTAAACTATGGGACGATTGAGTAAAACTGAAGGAAAAACTGTGAAAAAAACACTGGGGAGACTGGAATGGAGGGGAAAATGATGTCGAGTAAAACTATGGAAAAGCAATGGAAAAATGAAAAAAATGTGGCTTCGATGTGAGACCATTAGCGATGGAAAAGCAATGGAAAAATCGAGGGACTATGATGAAGAAGTGGAGAAAAACAATGGAAAACATATTGGAAAAATTGCGGCTCTGATGTGGGACCAAAATGATGCCAAGTAAAATAAGAGTAAAATGACGGAAATTGATGGGATGAAAACACAATGGAAAAATTGAGGCTCCGATGTGGGACCATTATATGTGCAAGAAGAGTTTCTGGGTGAAGAGTCTCTAGGTGAAAAGTATATGGGGGAAAAGTTTGTGCAAGAAGATTTTCTGGGTGAAGAGTCTCTGGGTGAAAAGTCTGTGCAAGAAGAGTTTCTGGGTGAAGAGTCTCTGGGTGAAAAGATGTGAACAGTATATTGGTGAAAAGTATGTGCAAGAAGAGTTTCTGGGTGAAGAGTCTCTGGGTGAAAAGTACATGGGTGAAAAGTAGGTGCAAGAAGAGTCTTTGGGTGAAAGTATATGGGTGAAAATATGTGCAAGAAAAGTTTCTAGGTGAAGAGTCTCTGGGTGAAAAGTATATTGGTGAAAAGTATGTGCAAGAAGAGTTTCTGGGTGAAGAGTCTCTGGGTGAAAAGTATATGGGTGAAAAGTAGGTGCAAGAAGAGTCTCTGGGTGAAAAGTATATGGGTGAAAAGTATGTGCAAGAAGAGTTTCTGGGTGAAAGTATATGGGTGAAAAGTATATGGGTGAAAAGTATGTGGAAAAAAAGTTTCTGGGTGAAGAGTCTCTGGGTGAAAAATATATGGGCGAAAAGCATGTGCAAGAAGAGTTTCTGGGTGACGACTTCTGGGTAAAAAGTATATGTGCGAAAAGTATGTGCAAGAAGAGTTTCTGGGTGAAGAGTCTCTGGGTGAAAAGTATATGGGTGAAAAGTATGTGCAAGAAGAGTTTCTGGGTGAAGAGTCTCGGGGTGAAAAGTATATGGGTGAAAAGTATGTGCAAGAAGAGTTTCTGGGTGAAGAGTCTCTGGGTGAAAAGCATATTGGTGAAAAGTATGTGCAAGAAGAGTTTCTGGGTGAAGAGTCTCTGGGTGAAAAGTATATGGGTGAAAAGTATGTCAAAGAAGGGTTTCTGGGTGCAGAGTCTCTGGGTGAAAAATATTTGGGTGAAAAGTATGTGCAAGAAGAGTTTCTAGGTGAAGAGTCTCTGGGTGAAAAGTATATGGGTGAAAAGTATGTGCAAGAAGAGTTTCTGGGTGAAGAGTCTCTGGGTGAAAAGTATATTGGTGAAAAGTAAGTGCAAGAGAAGTTTCTGGGTGAAGAGTCTCTGGGTGAAAAGTATATGGGCGAAAAGT